TGGTGTCGAATCGTACGGTGTCGAATAAATCTGTGTCCAATAATTTGGTGTCGAATCGATCGGTGTCGAATCGTACTGTGGTCAAACGGAACACGCCCCTCCAGGCATCGGTAGCACTGCATGCGACGCGCCCGAAGTGCCTCGATGGGGAGGGTGAACCACTCCACCGTTACTTTTCCCTCTCCCACTACCCGCTTAGCCGCAGGCAATGGGAGGCGCAACCATAGGGTTCCATACCCTGACGGGGAGGGTCGGACAGCGCCAGTCTTCACCTCCTCCGCCCCACAGCCGCCCACGGTGGCGACTGCCCTAGCCACGTCCTCCGGGTCGAGAGACGGCACCACGTCCCGGACCCGGATCTCTCCGAGTTTCTCGGGACGGGTGAATCTCACTCCCGGCACACCGCGTAGGGCCTCCGTGGCCCTAGTGGCCAAGGCCTGAGCCTTGGCCGCTCCCCCTGGTCTTTTCACCAGGAGAAGCATGCCCCCATTGGCCGCTTTGCGGACTCGGAGGTCAGAGACCCCGATCTCCGACAAATTCACAGCGGCCGCGGCCTTCCTTATTGCGTCAGCGTAGGAGCCGCCCGTCTCCACGGTGAGGAGAACTGCCGCGCCGCTGGGGGCACGCCCCAGCTTGGCCTTCTCCTCCCTTTTTTTCGCCGCGGTCCTGGNCTGCGGAGCAGAACGCTCCGCAGGCCGAGGGCGTTGTTGCGCCCTTTGGTCTGGGGGAGCGGGAAGAGCACCACCAGCTCCGCCACTCTTGCGGCTACGCCGCCGCGCCACCGTCGCCCACGTGGGCTCTTTGTCCACCGAGGTGGCCGTCTCCTCCGCCAGGGCAGGAGCAACCCGGCCAGGAAGGAGGGAGGAGAGCTCGCGCCTAACGGCGGAGAGAACTCTCTCCTCGATCTCCTTCCCGATCTGCTCCGCTAGAAGGCGGATACACCGCGCTTCCTGAGGCTCCTGTGGTGCGGAAGGCCCAAAAGGCTCCGCAGCCTCCTCCCCCGCCTGCGCCCACTGGGTGCACGTCGCGACGGGCGGGGCTTCGGGGGTCGCAGGCAGAGTAAGCTCTACCTGCGTCCCGCAGTCCGCGCTCTCCCTTCTGGACGGGCACCCAAGGGTAAAACCCTTGCGGTACGCTTCGTCCAGCATCTCCTTCATCTTGCGAGCGCGTGACTGCGCTATCGTGGCCTCGGCTTTGGACATTTTGAGCTTCTGCTCAGCCGTCCGCAGTCGCTGCTTCACCAAGGAGAGCTCCTCCTTTTCCCCCGGCGGTTGTGCGCCGACTACCGCGGCCTTCTTCTTTTCCGCGCGGCGGGAGAGCGCCACGAAGCCTTCGGCGGCTTCCTTGGCCGTGGCTGCCGCTTCCTTCAGGAGGCGCACGTAGCGTCCCTGAAGGTTGCGGGACGTGGAGGCGACCTTTAACACCGTCTCCACTGCCTCCTTCGTCCGTTTCAGCAGGTCTTCCCGACCGGCCGACTCGTCGATGGGGCCGAGACTTCTGAGGCCCGCAGTGCTTTTCCAGCACTCAGCCTCCTGCTCGGCTTCCATCTCCGCCCGCTTGGCGGCTGCCAGGCGTTCTTTGGCCGCCGCCAACCCGACGTACTCGCCAGTAGTTGGCGGACGGCCTCGCTTGCGTCCCCGTCCCGTGATCTTGGAGGCAGAGGGGTGGAGACCTCCATCCTCATCAACCTCCATCGAGGAGGAATCAGTCGAGGGAGGGGGATCCCCCACGATTTCCATCCCAAGTGGGGGTGACGGGCGACTGCTCGCCTCCGCCGCAACCTCCACCGCGCTCTCGTCGTCCGAATCGTCGACGAGAGTCGAGACACGCCGCCTGCTCGCGGCAACGCGCCCAAACAGGCTGGAGCGACCCGCAACCTCGTCGGCGCCCTTCGCAGTCGCCAATTCGCCCAACGCCCCTGCGGTGCAGGCGCTGGGTAGCCCGTCGTTTGATGACGACATGAAGGGGCCCGGGACGGTAACCCCTCCA